TCGAACTGGCGCTGCAGAGGCTGCGGGCAGCCTCGCAACCCAGCACTCAACCGCTGCACCACCAGGGGAGGCTTGATAGTATATATCTTGCTTTTATTTTTTTTTTTTAAATGAAATATGTTTAGAAGACTGAGGGCAAAGTTGAAGACAGGATTTGACCTCAAGTGGAGTGCAGCTGCATGGTAATTCAGAAGGCTCTATTCAATTTGGCAATTCAAAACATGTATAAAAAATTCAAATACTTAGTAAACCTTTTATTTTACAGAAATATATAAAGTTATTTGTTCCAGAGGTATTCATGCCAACATTATAATAGAAAAAAAGGTAAACACATTTGGTATTCAGTAGTAAGAGACTGGTTAATAGCTAATTGTGGTACGTTCATCTGATAGAATATTACGCAGGCTCTAAAGTTCATGAAGATTCTTAGTGTAATAAGAGTAGGTACATTATGCAGGCTAATGCCAAATGCAGGTCATAAAACTATGCATTGTGTTAATGCTGTTAAGACAAAAATGATATATTGACAGTTTTCACAATTGTGGCTATTTCTTGGTAGTGACATATCAACAACTTGTTTAGTAGTGGTCATTTCTTGGTAATACCATTCAGGGTAAATTTATTTTCCTTGTATTTCTCTTTTTTTAATTTTCTTGTTTTCTATAATGGATCTAATTTGCTTTCATAATATGAAAGAAAACAATACAGTTTAAAAATTAAGGTGAAAAGGTACCAAACTATACAAATGGTATTACTAAAACAAATTTGAACAAGTTACATGGTTTGAACAAGTAATTAGAGAAATTTAAATAATCAATGAAAATAAGAAAAATGTTAATACATTATAAACTCTCCACAGAAAGAGAAAGTAGATTTATGTTGTGCTGTTCCAATTGGTAGGGGATAGAATTATAGAAATGGACATGTCAGGGTCTTTTTAGCAAAAATTTCATAAGAACCTAAGTGTTCTAACATAGACAGTGAACTCAGGAAAACAAAACATGAAGAAAACAAGCTTAGTAAAGATTGAAACCATAAAAAAAAAAAACACCCACAGAAATTCTAGAGCTGAAGAATCAAGAAATGCAGTAGAGAACTTTCAACAATAGAATTAATCAGGCAGAAGAAGAACATTTTTTAAAATATTCTCTAAAATGAAAAAAAAAGAAATGAGAACTATAAGAATGGAGAAAGCAAATCTGAATCGCATCAGTTGAAACACTATTCACATTATGGGAGACCCAGAAAGAGAAAGACAGAAAGGAACAGAAAACTTAAAGAAATAATGGCTAATAACTTCCCAAATCTGGGAAGAGAGATGGCTATCTGGAACATAAAGTACAAGTATCCAGAAACAAATTCTACTCAAAGAGATCTTCACCAGCTACATTATAATCAAGCTCTCCTAAATCACAGATAGAATTTTGAAAGTAACTAGAAAAAAAAAAAAAGTGTGACAATGCTGATAAGGCTACCAGCAGATTTCCCAGCAGAAACCTTGTAGGCTAGGAAAGCATGGGATGGTATAGTCACAGCACCCAAAGGAAAATATAAAAAAGTTGTTCTTCAGTAATGAAACAGCAATAAATACAAAACAAAAACTGAGGGCATGTGTCACCAGTAGTACTGCCTTGCGAGAAATGTTAATGCTGAAGCAAGAATGCTAACTGCTATCAGGAAAATATGTGAAAGTATAAAATTCACTTGTAAAGGTAAATATACAGTCTAATTTAAAACCTCTCATAGTGCAAAGATAATTTGTAAATTACTCTGAACTCTGGCATATAGGTTAAAGACAAAAGCATTCACAATAAATAGCTACAATATGTTAATGGATACACAGTATACAAGATGTAACTTGGGATACCAACATTATTGGGGTTAAGTAAATGTGTGGAAATTTGATGCAACTAAAGTTGTTATCAGCTTAAAGTTGACTATTATAAGATGTAATTTGAAAGACCCATGGTAATTTCAAAGAAACAAGCCTATAATATGTTCACAAATGGTGAAGTGAAAAAAGTCAAAGCTTACCACTACAAAAAAGGAAAAGAGAGCAAAAGAGAAAGAAATGAAAAGAGCTTACAGATTGGAAAGCAATTAAAATATGGTGATAGTCTTTATCAGTAATTACTGTAAATGTAAATTGTTTGAACTCCCTAAGTAAAAGACAAAGTTTCTCAGTAGATTAAAAAAGAAGACCCAAATTTATGCTACTTATAAGAGACTTGCTTAAGTTTAAAATATTCACATAGACTGAAAGTGGAGGAATGAAAAAATATTCCATGCAAATGAAAACCAAAAGAGAAGAATGGGGGAGTATTATTATATCTTCAAAATAGGCTTTTGGTGAAAAGCTGTAACAAGGGACAAAGAAGGTCATTATTATAATGATATAGAGGTCAATTTATCAGAGATTTTAACAGTTACAAATATATGTATATACAAACAAAAACTGCAGCTCCTAAATATATTTAAGTATTATTTACAGAAATAAGGCAAAAGTATACAGCAATAGTAAAGGACTTATTTTTTTAAAAGATTTATTTATTTATACAAGCACTGGGGTACAGGCCAGAGGTATGGGAGGGTGAGAGGATTCACCAGAGACAGAATGGGGAACGGAACAGGCAGACTGATGAAATACACTGCTGAGGGGAGCAGCAGGCAAGACTGGAGTGGTCTGCTGTGCCATCTGGGATTCTTGCCAGCCAGCTGGCTGGCCAGGTTGGAACCCGCACTGCAGAGGCTGTGGACAGCTTCACAAAGTGGTGCTCAACTGCCTGTGCCACCAGGGAGGCCCAATAGTAAGGGACTTAAGTTAATTGCTTTTAACAATGAATAGGTCAGACAGGCAATAAAGGAAATAACAGATATAAACTACAGGTCATATGAACTAACAGACCTATATAGTTACAGAATATACCAAGTGCATGTGGAACAATCTTCAGGAAAGATTACATTAGTAAGTTTAATGAGTATCTTTTTTGACCACAGTGGTATAAAATTAAAAGTTAATAGCAGGACAGATGCTGGAAAATTCACAAATATGTGGATTAAACAACACACTTCTGAAAATCCAGTGTATCAAAGAAGTCAAAAGGAAAATCACATACACACAAAATTGTTGAGATAAATTACAATGGAAACACAGCATATCAAAACTTATGAAACTCAGCAAAAGCAGTTCTATGATTAAAGTACACACTTTTAAGAAATACCTACATTAAGAAAAAAGAAAGATATCAAATAATCTAACATTTCATCTTAGGGAAATAGAAAAGGAAGAGTAAGTGTAGCAGAAAGAAGGAAATGATAAAGATTAGAGCAGACATAAATGAAATAAAGACCAGGAAGACAATAGAAAAGATCAAATAAAACATAATAGAAGAACTCATTAAAATTAAGAGTTGGTTTTTTGAAAAGATAAAATTGACATACCTTTGGCTAGGTTTACTAAGAAAAAGATGACTCAAATTAATAAAAATATAAATGAAATAGGAAACATTACTTTTTTGTAATCAATGGCTTTTTTTTTGTCCAAGAGAATTTGAAACTTAGTAAATATTTGTTATTTATCACACTTTCTGATAATTCATTACTTTTTATCAGTATGTATTCATGACTTCCTTTTCAACTTCCTTTTCAACTTGATAGACACAGGTTGCTTCCATGTCTTGGCTATTGTAAATAATGCTGTTAAACACACACATACATACACAGACTCATATACATATATGGTAATGTTTTCATTTCCTTGGAATAAATACCCAGAACTGTAATTGCTGGAGCATATGATAGTTTTACTTATAGTTTTTTAAGGTGACTCTGTACTGTTTTCCATAATGACTGCATCAACTTACTTTCCCTCCAACAGTGCAGTTGGTGATATTTCAATATCAAGATCTGTATGCCTGGTATGCTCATTTCTTTTGAAAATCATTTCAATGAAGAGTTATGAATATATGTATATGAATTTGTGTGCCTATGTGAATGTATGACTATACACATGTATGTATATACATACATAACATGCTTGCCATGTGTTTATTACAATAGAGCATTAAGTGAATGGTAGAAAAACAACCAATAAGAAGTACAAAGATACAGATTTCTTTAATGACCATGGTGTGAAAATACAGAAATGGAAATAATGCTAAAAAGAACACAATATGCTCTGAAACATTATCCCAGATACTCAGTATGCTCTCACAGGAAATCAAATATATATGAAAACACCCACAGGAGAGAAACCTCTATTTAAAAGTATGTCTTTGTCATATTCATGGGCTAGGGGGAATCACACTCTCCCACACACCTAGTTCTCTGGTTCTCACAGGACATGGCAGCTGCTCATGAGGTGCAGAACAAGCCCAGCCCATTCTGCAGTGACTATTACAATTATTATTACATCCCAGGACCATCTTCCAGTTGTCTAGATTTCTGTCTATGTTTCAGTGAAACTCTACATCATAACCTACCTTGCACCTAATCACAAAATAATTCTGGTATTTTATAATGCTTTTGGCTAGGTTTACTAAGAGAGTTAACAGAACAAAGTATTTTAACAACTTTCCCTTAGAATTCAGAATTGTAGTTATGAATATTAAGGTTTTATCCTCTTCCCAACTTGGATCATTTAAACAAAAAGCATCTAGTTCTTCCAATAGTTTGAAGTAAAGAACTCCTCTCTAGCCCTAAAATTATTTTCTTCTCATTGTTCCTTGAACTTTCATGCTGCCATATCCCCTTCTGTCTAGAATAGCACTTAACACTTGGTTGCCCTCAGACACTTTTCTGATCTCATCTTGCTGTTGGGGTATGTGGATACCATCTTGTTTTAGATTTTCACCTACATTGTGCACTTAGAACTGGCACCACCTTTAACTGGGATATCTAAGGGTTTAGTGGTGCCCAGGGTGGTTCCAAGGTCTGTGTGTCCTTTTGTACTGAAGGAAGAGAAACCTAACTCTCCTTTTTACCCATTTTTGTCACAACAGGGAAAGTCTTACATGAAGAGCACGTTGAACTCTTAATGGAAGAGTTTGCATTCCTGAAAAAAGAAGTTGTAGGAAAAGACCTGCTGAAAGGGTCTCTTCTCTTCACAGGTCAGTTTTAGGTGAAATCACAGGTCATGTGTAACTGGTGAAGCTGGAAGGTCAGCAAGGTTCTTTCCCAATAAGCTTGGATTAATTTCTGATGAAGACTCTATTACTGAAGGCCAATTTAATTTCATTTTCTCACACTTTTGTGAAAAACTAACTATTTTCATTCTTCCCCAAGTAAGATTTATTTTTAAAAAGATTTATTTATTCATACAAGAGCTGGGGTACAAGCCAGAGGTGTGGAAATTCATTGGAGACAGAGTGGGGAACAGAATAGACAGACTGAAACACACTGTTGAGGGGAGCAGTGGGAGAGACAGGAGAGGTCAGCTGCACCATGTGGGTAGCTCTCTGGCTGGCTGGGGATTGAACTTGTGCTGCAGAGGCTACAGGATAGCTCCACAGTGCTGTGCTTAACCCCTTTCACCACCAGGGAGGCCCCCTCAAAATAAGATTTAATTGCTTAGTGAATCTTAGGTAAAAATGTATGTTAGAAATCTCAAACATGTTCGTATTTCTGTGTCAATCTACTGGGTAGAATTTTCACTCATGAAATCTTAACAAGTTAGAGATTATTTTTACTTAAGACTGAAAATGAGGGGCCTCCCCTGTTGGCGCAGCAGTTGAGTACTGGGCTGCGAAGCTGCCCGCAGCCTCTGCAGCGCTAGTGCGATCCCCGGCGGCCAGCAAGGGTCCCTCATGGTGCGCAGACCTATCCTGCTGCGCCTGCTGCTCCCCTCAGCAGTGTATTTCGTCAGTCTTCCTGTTCTGTTCCCCGCTCTGGTTCTGGTGAATTTTCTCACCCTTCCGCGCTTCTGACTGCACCCAGTGCTTGTGTAAATAATAAATAAATCTTAAGAAAAGAAAAAGACTGAAAATGAGACCTCTTTTTTGAAAAAAGAGTGAGATAGATTGTTTAGGAGTACATCTGTATGTACTTTGTATAGCAAAGTGAATATACATTAGTCCCTTTATTCTAAGGACATTGGCCGCCGCCAACATATTTTATGTTTGGCTGTTTACTTTGTATCAGCAATTCTTTGAGCAGTTCCATTAGCAATTGGAAGTGAGCATCCTGGGGCCACCTCCACTTATACTCCATCTTTGAGTGGAGTTTTTAAAAAATCTGGCTATACTCTGGAGTATCTGGGCCACATTCCTGAAGACTTTCATTACAGAAAGGAAGCCCTGGGCCTCCCTGGTGGCTCAAGGGGTTAAGCACAGCACTGTGAAACAACAGAAATTTGATCCCTGGCGGCCAGGGAGCAACCCTCATGGCGCAGCAGACCTCTCCTGACTCGCCCACTGCTCCCCTCAGCAGTGTATTTCAGTCAGTCTGCCTGTTTTGTTCCCCACTCTGTCGCTGGTGGATCCTCTCACCCTGCCCCCCATGCCTCTGGCCTGTACCCCAGTTATTGTATGCATAAATAAATCTTTAAAAAAAAAAAAGGAAGCCCTGACATGGCCTGGCATGGTTAATTAATAAAACCATTTTACCATGAGTTTCTAGGAAATACAGTGAACTTCATTTAAGATCCATTTTCATCCTTTAAGATGATACAGTAAAAGTTATGACAACAAATAATGATAAAATATGCATAAGGAACTGTGCTAAATAGCTGACCTGCATTATTTCATGTTAATTCATGTGTTGATCTAAAGTAGGTAGTTATTGCCATCAATATATAGGGTTTCAAAAAGTGTGAAAGTGTAGCTTCACAGTTGACACAACAGTTATATGGCAGAGCCAGATTGAAAAACATGATTCAAGCCTTGATAGCAGCTCTCTCCAAAGAACAACAACAAATTGTAATCAGCTCAGAAAGAACTGCTTTTCTTTTGTAAGTTTGATACTTAGAGTCTAATGATTTCAAACAATGTTGTCTATGAAAACTTAAAATTTCTCTTGCTTTTATTTATAACTTCCTTTTTATTTTTTCATTTTTAAATATTTTCTTACATCCTTGTTAATTTTTGTACAGTAGTTGATTTCTTCCCTCAGCTATAGTCCTCATAGTTTTAAGAAATAGCCATAACTATGAATTACTTTAAGTCAGTATCAAAGATATAAGAAATTTTTAGTTTCTAGAGCAATGTAACATGTATAAAGTCTTTTAAATTTATACATTATAGTAAAAGTTGGACTGGAACAGTAACTTGTCCAAAGATTTCTCATACAGATACTTTAGACTGTATTTTTTATACATGAGATTGTGAGGACTAAGAATGTACTTTGTACTGATTTTATTGATATTGACATAATTTGTGGGTATTATTTTTTTCATAACTATCACACCATCACATAGATATGGTATATATGGACTGGATGGACTAAAATACATTGATTCTTCTTTTACAATATTTTGTTAAGTAACTAAATGTAACTTCTTTTATAAGATTTTGTTAAATAAATACAGTGTTTATACACACATAGACACACACACATATTAGAAGCCTAAAACATTATTATCCTTTGTGAACTGCCATTTCCAATAAAATATTTTATTTTACTGAACTTAATAAGCACCACCAAAAAAGGGGAGACACTTTTATCCAAGAGTTTACGGAGATTCAGGGAGTTTTCATCATTGTTATTATTTTGCATACCCTACATCACAAGGCAAGATTGCATTGTCCTGATCACCCAGCCATGTCTGTTCACTGCCTTTAATACCTATCATGCCCTCCCCCACCACAGCTGCCATCCCTTACTCCCAATTTCCGAAAGTGTTTGTGATTCTATACAGCTGGCCCTTTGGAAGAAGAGCGGTTTGGCTTTCCTGCATTCAGTGGTATCTCTCGTCTGACCTGGCTGGTGTCCCTTTTTGGGGAGCTTTCTGTTGTGTCTGCCACTTTGGAAGAGCAAAAGGAGAATCAGTATATGAAAATGACTGTGTGTTTGGAGACAGAGAACAAACGGTAGGTCATGAGATACTTTGAGGGAAAAGAAATACATTGATATCCTCGTGGGTTCACAAGAGTTTGGGTTTCCTCATATTTAGAGACACCTTCAACTCCACAAGACTGTTTGCTTCTCTAGACAGATACAGTACTGAAATTCCATGTGTGTTGCCTCATATCATCTTCACAGCAGCTCTGTAAGGTAAATAATACAAACACGATTCCCTTTGCTATACATAGTAGAGATTTGAGCAGGTTGTGTAAGCCGCACAAATGTGTATTAACAGATGTAGTAGCAGGAGTTCAGTTACTTCTGTGACTTGAATTTTTTCCAACATTTTATTGTGAAAGTTTTAGACATGGCAAGGTAAAATAGTTAGCCGTAAACACCCATACAACTACAGGCTAGATTCGGCCATTAACATTTTACTCTGCTTGTTAATCACAGCTCCAAATACTCCTCAGCATTTAAGGTTCTACTCATCAGCTTTAAACATCACAATATATTGTGATATTGTTGCTAAAATTCTCATTCTTTGTTTTCCTCGCCAAATGTTTGACAATAAAATCACATTCACAGTTTTCCTTAGAAAGCATTTGGGCTTTGTAAAATATTTTAAACAGTGTATTTCTATATGTTTTTCCATATAGGTGTGTCTCGATAATTGTAGGGAGCAGGAATGGCCACTGAGCACGTTTTCTAGGATCCCATGCAGACCGGGTAAAGGAGGAGTTCTGGAGCCCTCAGGGGTTTTGTAGGTCTTTTATTGGGGTTCACCAGGCATATGGCAGGCAGGGGTGCTGCGGGGGCCGGGAGGCTGGCAGGCCTCCCAGCCCCCAGCAGGTCTTCACTCTGTGGGCTCTCCGGCCTTCTCTCAGCCTCTGCTTCTCTTGCTTCTCGCTAGGCTTCTGCTCAGCTTCTGCTGTCGTCCCCATGACACTGCCCTTAAAAGCCCAGTCTTAGCCCAAGTGAATCCCACCTACCTATGCCCACACCCTACTCCAGGTGCCCACCATCAGGCATGCATTCAGGACCGCAAGGATCCATCTATCCTAATGGCAGGAGGGCAGAAAAGCCTGACATTTTTCAGGCTTTTTTTTTTTTAATTTTTATTTGAATAAAAATAAATTAAAGCAGGCAAAAGTGAGTGAGTTTTGCAGGTCTTTTATTGGGGTTCACCAGGCATATGGCAGGCAGGGGTACTGAGGGGCCGGGAGGTATTCACTCTGTGGGCTCTCCGGCCTTCCCTCAGCTTCTGCTTCTCTTGCTTCTCGCTTGGCTTCTGCTTGGTTTCTGCTGTCGTCCCTGTGACGCCGCCCTTAAAAGCCCAGTCTTAGCCCAGGTGAATCCCACCTACCTATGCCCACACCCTACTCCAGGTGCCCACCATCAGGCATGCATTCAGGACTGCAAGAATCCATCATCTATCCTGATGGCAGGAGGGCAGAAAAGCCTGACATTTTTCCTTACCCTGCAGTCCACCCCCTTAGGGTTTTCTCCCATATAGTCTTCATATATACAATTTTCTTAGCAAATATAAACAATGCAGCCATGGCCCACTAAAAGCAGATACATCACAGGGCCTCCCCGGTGGCTGTGTTGCGAAGCTGCCTGCGGCCTCTGCAGTGCCGGTTCGATCCCCGGCTGCTCCCCGGCCACCGGAGAAGGGTCCAGCATGGTGCGCAGACCTCTCCTGCCGCCCGCTGCCCCCCTCAGTAGTGTACTTCGGTCCTTCTGCCTGCTCTGCTCCCCGCTCTGGCTCTGGTGAATTCTCTCACCCTCCCGCGCTTCTGACTGTACCCAGTGCTTGTATAAATAAATAAATAAATCTTTACCAAAAAAAAAAAAAAAAGCAAATACATCACAATATAACAACAAAATACAACAGAACACAAATAACTCCAGGCAGGGCACCAGCCTAGTGGCAAGACAATTATTGGTACCCGCAGATGATCCACCAAATCTGCTGCTGAAGGCACTGCTCATGCGAGGGAGGGGAATCACTCAAGGCATCTACTGTAACACGCCAGGAGCCGTCAGGCTTCCTGGCCTTCTCTGGCTATAGTCTTGGCTACAAGCCACACACCGCATTCCCCCCCCCCCCCCCGCAGGATGCACTCACTCTGGGATTGGCGATTCTATTCTGTTGGGGGTAATCGCCAACCCTCAGGGTTTCTGTCTGCAGTTGCTCCAACACTCGGCCTTCATAGCCTCCAATGCGACTCGCAGACCCCTGCACTCAGGCCAACCCACTGCACAAGCACATGGGTCGGGGATCCAAACTCTATATTCAGCTTGGGCTCCACCCCAAGCCACGTTTCCCACCCGTCCCCCAAGGACACGTTCCTCAGCTCCTCACCCTCACTCAAGAATGAGCAGGGCATCACCCACAGGTGATTTTACGAGACTCACAGGTCTTCAGCATACTTAGGCTGCTTAATAGCCACTCAGGGCTTCTCAACTTAGCATCAACACCAGCTTTTGCCTTCTCAGTTGGCTTTTCTCCTCTGCCTGGCTGCTGGGCATACACAGGCTGCTTTTGGCCATCAAGGCCCACTGGCCACCCCCAGATTCTCAAAAAAAAAACATAACCTGCCAAGGTCCTCCGCCTTCTGGCGGGATTGTCAGTCCAAGTCCATCAGACCAAGTTCATTAGGCCTCTCCCTGCATCAGCACCGGTGAGCTCCAAATCATGGTCCTCTCTACGCTGATGATTCTTGCTGCCTCAGGGGTCATTGGCTGGTCCTCTCAGGCGTCTCCTCCTCCTCCAGGCGTGGTCTTGTCCTGTAGCTCCTGGACCTTGTCCATCTCCTGGGTCACCATGACACCTCCAGCGTCGTCACAGGCAGTCTTTTACTCCTTAGTCCCTCCAGGTCTTCGGAGGGCTCCATACCCGTCTGCATGGATCATCTTGCCGACTTATGCCAATTGTAGGGAACAGGAATGGCCACTGAGCAGGTTTTCTAGGATCCCATGCAGAATGGGTAAAGGAGGAGTTCTGGAGCACTCAGGGGTTTTGTAGGTCTTTTATTGGGGTTCACCAGGCATATGGCAGGCAGGGGTGCTGCGGGGGCCGGGAGGCTGGCAGGCCTCCCAGCCCCCAGCAGGTCTTCACTCTGTGGGCTCTCCGGCCTTCTCTCAGCCTCTGCTTCTCTTGCTTCTCGCTAGGCTTCTGCTCAGCTTCTGCTGTCGTCCCCATGACACTGCCCTTAAAAGCCCAGTCTTAGCCCAAGTGAATCCCACCTACCTATGCCCACACCCTACTCCAGGTGCCCACCATCAGGCATGCATTCAGGACCGCAAGGATCCATCATCTAACCTGATGGCAGGAAGGCAGAAAAGCCTGACATTTTTTTCTTACCCTACAGTAATGTTGAATAAAAATAAATTAAAGCAGGCAAAATTGAGTGAGTTCATTAAAGAATCAAAGAGTGAGGGCTTGAGCCTGGGAACAGCTTCCAAATAGCTCAGGAAAAGGTCACCAAGATCCTGGACTTTTTAGTTAGGTTTATATGCAGGGTTTTTTTTAGGGATTTCTGTAAAGGCAAGGAAATTGGATTGGGGGGGTCTTGTTGATGTAAACATCAAATGGATATCTGTTCATTGAGGAAAACAAAGAGCATTGTTAGAATTTACCCTATCCATTTGGAGCCTTATCTTCTGGGAACTGGAGTTTAAGATGTGCTATAAACCTCAAAGTCTGTCTGTCTTTGGCGTTTCTGATTTGCCCAGAAGCAGTTTTTTGTTGATGTTGACACATTTTGTCACAAAACCAGTCCTGCTGTGTCTTGACTCTGACTTGTGCCCCTTAGTTGAAATCAGGGAGAGAGGTATCCTTTTAATTGCTGATTTTAGTTAATAGTAGTAAAAGAGTAAGTTTAGTTAGTAGTAGTAAAAGGCCACTGGGTAGTCACAGAAGGAGAAAAATATTTGAGTCCTTGAATGAAACCTCATCTATGTTCATTTTAAGTTTCTTCTTTCCTAGGGAAAGGCAGAGGTTACAGATGGAGGTAATGCAAGTCTAGCTTGGAAGTACTATGTATTTGTTTCATCATTCTGATGCTGATGATGTAAGGGTTAGAATTGCAGCCATGGTCAGACCTGCCCACAGGTCAGTCCCTGTTGCACGCTCAGGATTTAACACTGTCCCTATTCACACTGGGAACTATTTCACTTTTAACAGTAGTAAACAAATTTGCCTTGTCCTTTACCCTGACTTATCCCTATAGGAAAAGAAAAGGAAGTGGGATATAACAAGTGGTAGCCAGAGGCCAACAGTAAGTCACCTCACTCCTGGGACTCTGCTCTAAGAAGAGGAAGGAGGGAAAACTATATATGTATATATGCATGGAGCTGTTCAGTGCAGGATAACCATATTAAGAGAGCTTAAATATGTGGCAACAATAAAATATTGAATGACATAAATTATACATGTTATGTAGGTAAATCATACTAAAAACAAGTAAAATGTTCATATTCAAAAGTTGTTAATGATTTACATGTCATATAATTTTTTTTTCATATAAAATATTTTTAAAAATTGTCTCAAGCCAAAAATACTTCTACATAGGTGAAAAAATCATGGTAGTTTTTTCCCTTTCATGTAAAAACTCCTTAAATCAATTCATTTAAAAAGTCCTTAGAATGTATTTTTAAAAGCAGATTTTATATATTTCTTGTTATATTACTCAATGAAGCTTACTGTGGTGAAAGACTACTTCAGAGGTGTCTCTATTTTTCATTAAGCAGATAACACCTGTGATTTACTGTAAAGGCAGAAAGATGAATCCAAAGAAAAGAGACTTTGGAGAAGAATAGTCTAGATTTTTGTGAGTGATGACATGAACCTGGGGAGCAAATTTCACATGGAAATAGGTGCATTGTTAATCAACAGGGGAATATGGTATTTTCTGGCATGTGCTTGAGGTCAAACACTTCCTTGAAGATGTGATAGAAATTCTTTCCCATAGAATTGCGTCTACATAAAGAAATAACAGTTTGCATATAATCTCAGTCATACCTGGCTCCCTCTACAGAGATCCCTGAGACTCAGGTAAAAACTCTTGATTCACAAACAGGTATTCACACAAAAATTATTAAATGACTTCCCCTAGCTGATAACAAAATTAAATAAATGATGGCCTTAAAGTTGGCAACCATTACCCGCAACCTCTTGGAGGTTGGTAAGGCCTTTTGTCTGGATTCCACCTAAAATACCACATTAATCACAGCTGAAGGGAAGATTGTGTGCAAAATCTGCTGCTAGGCAATTAGGAGGCAGCAAGCATTCCTTTGTGCTTCCGTGTTTTCTCTAATACTGTGCTTCCTTTGTCTTTATAGTCCATTGACATGGATTGAAGAGAAGGGGCCTGGTCTAAAACGAAACAGACATTTAAGCTTCCATTTCAAATCTGGATCTCTGGAGAATATGCCAAAAGTAGGAGTCAATAAGAATATTTTCCTGAAAGATCAAGATATATTTGTCCAGAAACTCTTGGGCAAGTTCTCTGAAAAGGAGCTGGTTGCTGAAAAGAAACGCATCCTGCACTGCCTGGGGCTTGCAGAAGAAATCCAGAGAAACTGCTCAAAGAAGTAAGAGAAGGAATCAGCATAGCACTTCCAAGAAGAGATCATAGTTTGACTTATCATAAGTTAACCTTTGTCTCTGTTCTCATAATTAAACCTCTTGGGTTAACAGGATTTTGCTTATTTTCACAAGCTGTTTTGAGGGTGATCTTTGGGAGTAGGGCCACATATAGTGGGGATGAGGCAAGAACTTACATCGGCTGAGCTGAGCTAAATGCTTTATATGCCTGATTTCATTTACTTTTTCAAACAACCCTGTCAGATCTGTATTATCAGCCTTGTTTTCATTAATGTATCAGAAAATCTTGTTTGAAATCACCAGAATAGTAAAAAGGCTTTTTACTTTATTTTTTTTAGAGAGATTTTTTTTTATCTTATACAGGGATACAGGCCAGGATACAGGCCAGATGTGTGGGAGGGTGAGAGGATTCACCAGGGACAGAGTGGGGAACAGAACAGGCAGACTGACTGAAATACACTGCTAAGGGGAGCAGCGGGCGAGACAGGAGAGGTCTGCCCCGCCACATGGGTATCTCCCCAACCAGCTGGGATTGAACCTGCGCTGCAGAGGCTGCGGACAGCTGCTGCGCTCAACCACCTGTGCCACCAGGGAGGCCCCAGACTTTTTACTTTAAACCACATCATGCTCTAAACCATTAAATAGGGCCTTCAACCTTTTTCTATGCTTTAAGGAATTTTATCACCCCCCACCCAACACACACACAAACTTTATACAGGATGACTAGGAATTCTAAAAATAGTCAAGACATAGCCACTACTCTCAGTCACTCACTGTGTTAAAGTAGTTAGGTCCAGTAAAAGAGATATGAAGATGGGTGTGAAGTTTTACAACCCAGATATTGAAGAATAGGTTGGCTGTGTAAATGTTTTCCTGGTAAAGGATTTGCATGAGCAGAGAAGAAAGTAAGAAACTTCTGGTGAGTGCCCTGGGGTCAGTGTTGCCTGGGAATTGTAGGAAGGTGAATCTGGGGGAGTAGCTGAAGGAGCTGGGTATTATTAGGCAGTGTAGAGGTACCAAAGGGTATTATTTAACAGGCGAGTGACATGTCAGGTTTCCCATTTAGTAAAGTACTCAGAAGGCTGGCAGGTGATATGATTTGAGACCAAGGAGGAAGCGTCCAGTTAAGAGCCAGCAAACTTGTTTATACTTGCAGTCCTTAGCTTGTCTGGACTTGTTGCTCATATCAGACTCAGCTGACCTGAAGCAGAGCTGAGTCCAAGGAAACTGTCCTTTCATTTCAGTGGCAGGTCTGTTGGTTTTCTTCAAAGTTTGTGTTAGATTCTTGCTTCTGTAACTGGCTCCCCCTTAGTTTGTGCCTACTGCCCTCTTGCCATTGGAGGTTTCAACAGTTCAGCCACTGTGAGGTCACTGATGGAGGCAAATAGATAAACTTAAGTCTTAAAAAAATTCCTAAGATTTTATGAAATAATAAGATAAATAAAAATAATGAGATTTTATGAAATAATTTGTAACATTGATACATTGTTTCTTTTATTATCACAACATCTATCTCTTGAGTCAGGAACTTCTGTATCTGTCTAGCATGAGGTAAGTATGAAATATTTGATGATTACAACATAGTACAATGGTTTCTCTCATTTGGACTTGATAATTCTAATGGAAAAATATTGCTCCTATTTGATATTGGAAGAAAGGCTATTCTGAGTTTAAAAAAAAACACTTCAGTATAAAAGTGGGCTCAATTATGAATTCCAGCTTAGGCAAGTTGGAATTCATAGCCAAGGAGCAGGGTAGGGATCAGTAGATGGAAGAGTACTGAGAGGAAACCTTTGGAGTATTGGAGGGATTCTTGCTGAACTGATGTCACAAGATTCTTGTTAAATATAGACCAATATGGGACCTCCCTGGTGATGCAAGGGGTTGAGCATCAGCACTATGAAGCAGTCCATAGCTGCTGCAGCACGAGTTCAATCCCCGGCAGGGAGGTGACCCACATGGCTCAACAGACCTCTCCTGTCTCACCCACTACTCCCCTCAAGCGTGTATTTCAGTCAATCCACTTGTTCTGCTCCCCACTCTGTCTCTGCTGAGTCCTCTCAGCCCCCCATCTCTGGCCTGTACCCCAGTTCTTTTATACATAAATAAATCTTTAAAGAAAAAGATAGGCCAATATGATCAGATATCAAAGGATGAGAAATTTGATTGCATATTAAGGATAGGGATTCTCACTAAACTAAGTAGGATTTTTGTTAAAGTTGGGCTATGCAAAGACAGACATGAAAGTCCAAAGGTCTAATTCCAATTGAGAAGTGGGTGCAGAGGAGCCTGATTAAACTTTGGTCAATGAAAAAATGTGTCATGGGCTATGTGATTAATAATTGATATTGGTAACTACTCATCCCAATTTTGTTTTATATTTGGTCAAAGGATTCAAAATACAAATTTCTATACATTTTATTTATTGGTAGGAATTACAGAGGGAGAAGGAAGAGACAGGAGAAAAAACCCAGAGGGATGTCGTAGCAGCAGTGTTCCTTACCATCCCTGACTATACTCTCCTGCCCCCAACCTCTGCAGTTTTTCCTTTCTCTAAAGACAACACACCACTTCCCAATCACAAGTTTTCTTCCCAGGTGTAGCGAGTAAAGAAGCCACAAATATCCTTCAACCATGTGTTCAAATTATCCAAAAGATGGTGACCTGTGTTTTCTCCTTACGGTTATCTTGACTTCCATGGAAAGTCTAGTAAGCAAAGAGGTATTGAGATCTGATAATTTGGGATAGGATAGGAATTCTGTCCAATTTGAAGGGGAAAAAAAGGCCTTTATTCCATTACACTAACATTTGTAAGTGTTCAGGTGTGGGGGAGGGGTACCTCTAGATTAACCGTGTGTCTCTAGCGAAAGTAACTACAGTAATGCCTTTGACTTCTCTGCTTTCACCCAATTCTACCTAATTAGTAATGAAGAGAAAGCCCAACCACCCTGTTGATGTAACTGAGCTCTCTGCTTACTCTTATGTTAGGTGACCAGGGTAATCTCTTCTACAAGGGAGGAAGAGTTAAGTTACTCTAAGAGATGACAGATCAGAAAACATACTTGGTTGTGGGTCTCATATACATTCCCAATGAGCTTTCTCATAAATGTTTTTTTTTTTTTTAAAGCAATTTTTGGTCATTTTTTTTTTTAAAGATTTATTTGTTTTTTTATTTATACAAGCACTGGGTACAGTCAGAAGCGCGGGAGGGTGAGAGAATTCACCAGAGCCAGAGCGGGGAGCAGAGCAGGCAGAAGGACCGAAGTACACTGCTGAGGGGAGCAGCAGGCGGCAGGAGAGGTCTGTGTGCCATGTGGGACCCTCCTCTGATGGCAGGGGAGCAGCCAGGGATCGAACCGGCGCTACAGAGGCTTCGGGCAGCTTCGCAACCCAGCGCTCAACCGCTGCGCCACCAGGGAGGCCCTCTCATAAATGTTTTTCTAAAAACTCTCCCACATCTGTAGCTTTTCTAATGTTATAATGCAATGTTACTTCATGTTTTCCTGAAATTTTATTTGTCAGTTAATTTTCATAACTACATCTTTTGCAGGGTGCATTTTCACAAAACCATATGTACACATTCTTCACTTGCTCTCCCAGAAAACTCCTCTGAAGTGTTCAAACAATTCTACCCCTATCTTTTCTATATCCCCTCTTTCCCACTGTGGGGTAAGGTAAGAGTATCAGGCTTTTCTGCCCTTCTGTCATTAGGATAGATGATGGAACCCTGCAGTCCCGAATGCATGCCTGATGGCGGGCACTTGGAATAGGGTGTGGGCATATGTAGATGGGATTCACCTGGGCTAAGACTGGACTTTTAAGAGTGGCATCATGGGGATGCCAGCAGAAGCAGAGATGCAGAAGCAGAGACCCACAAGAGAAGCAGAGAGAACACCGGAGAGCCCAGAAAGAGTGAAGACTTGCTGGTAGGCCTCCCAGCCCCCCAGGACCCCTGCCTGCCGTGTACCTGGTAAAACCAAATAAAAGCCTGCAAAAGCCACTGAGGGCTCCAGGACTCTCTCCTCCTTTACCCCATCTGCATAGAGTCATAGAAAACCTGCTCAGTGCCCTGTCCTACCCTTAACACCCACTGATAACCAGTATATTTTTCACAGAGTCTAAGGATTATTTTTGAAATTATCCACTATCTGTCCTTCAATTTCTGTGTTATTCCAATTAGTGTAATCACCTCAATGTCCTTACATTTTGTCCTTCAAGGCACTATTTTATCTTTTGTAATAGTTGAGTAGTATCCCACTGAATATAATCTTTAATTTTTTTTTTAATTTTAGTATTTGTTTTTTATTTTATTTATTTTTAATTGTGGTAATATTGGCACACCCCCATCAGGAATTGCCACCATAGTGCACCCACCACCAACTCACCCATGTTATGCCAACATAGACCATTGTGCTTCCTTCTTTCTTTCTTCTTATCCCCCCAACATTTCCTCCATTGGTACTTCAGTTTCATAGTCAGCTATCAATGATTAATGTTCAAATTTGTCTTTATCTTTCTCTTTCTAATTTATTTCACTTAGCATTGTCCCTTCCACTAAAATTCATGTTGACTTAAATAAGCATGAGTTTATCTTTTTTGATCACTGAGTAATATTCCATTATTTATATATCTTCTTGATCCACACATTTGCTTTGGACCACTTAATTTGTTTACATAGTTTAGCTAAATTGTAAATTGTGCTGCAATAAACACAGAACTTCAAGTTTCCTTTTGAATTAATGTTTTTGAATTTTTTGGATAAATGTCTAGGAGTGGAATTACTGGTCAAAAGGTAGATTCATTTTAATGTTTGAGACACCACCATACTGCTTTCCATAAGGGTTTGACCACCAGTATAAGAGGGTTCCCATTTTGCCACAACCTCACCAGTACATGTTGTTTCTAGTCTTTTGGATATGAGCCATTCTCACAGGTGTGAGATGGTATCTCATTGTGGTCTTGATTGGCATTTCTCTAATAATAAGTGATTGTGAACATCTTTTCATGTGCCTGTAGGCCATTTGAATGTCTTCTTTGGAGAATTGTCCATTTTTGATTGGGTTATTTGTTTAGTTTTTGTAGAGTTTTATGA